TTTGTGCTGGACTATTAGCTCTGACATTAAAAAATAAATAGCAATTCTTTCACGTGCTTGATTAATTCAGGACGGTCTCTCTTAGGGCTTGAAGTCCCTGGGGATCCAAAGCTATCCTAGGATTAAACCTTGCTCAACCCAGTTCAGCACAAGGGAGGCAATTAATAATTAATGAATTTGATGAATCAGCCCACACTGGGCTATTCATCTTTGACGTATTAGAAATTCTTTGCGAAAAAGACTCAACTCGGTTGTAAAGATGCGGGAAGGGGTCTCGGGCCAGCTGTCTGGAGAGACGTTTTCAACCCCAGCACTGCCTGCAACCCAGTTGACAGGTGGGTGGTCCTATCACAACAGCTCTCCGCCCAAGGCTCATCTATAAAAACACGAATAAACTTCCTTCGGGGACTGAAATTAGGGCTCAAGGTTGAATGATTTGCTCTTTGGGGGTAGGCAGTAATGACGGTGATAGGGCTCCAGTCCTTAAGGCACTTTGCCCAAACCAGCGACTGTCCTTTAAGGCTCCGCCCCTTCCCCGCCTCCCACGGAAATGTAGGGACCCCGGAAGCGCGCTAACTTCAAGAGGCCGCCTCTGGGGAGGGGGGAGGGTGGGGACGAGGAGCCGAGACTAGCCGCGCGCCTGCGCACTGCGGTCAGAGGGCCACCTTCGGCGGCGCGCCCCTCTCGGCCCCTCAAACAGCGCGAGATTTCCGCCCGAGCTCCGCGGCGGTGAGTGAAGCGCGTAAGGTCGCCTGCGCCCCGCAGCTGCGGCTGGGGCGCTGCTGGCTGCGTCCGGTGCTTCTGTGAGGGAGGATCTAGGAAACAGGGTGACCTCCAGACTTCCCCCCGGGGCTGCGGGCGTCGCTGGCGTCAGGATACTAGGACACTACGCTACTAGCTTGGGGCGCGCTCTGGGAGTGTCGGAGACAGGCCTCTGTTTTTGGGGGACAGATAGCGTAAACAGTCTCAGTTTGGGGTACAGCTGTGTTTAAGGTGCTCTTGGGACGTTTATTCAGCGCATTCATTGAGCGCCCGCCACGTGCAGGCATGAAGGGCGCCATAAAGCATTGAACAAAGGAGACATCAAATCCTATTCTCTGGGCGCTTAAAATCCGAGAAGTCAGTTTGAAATCTTGGACTGTAGACGTGGGTCGAATGTTTTCATGGGGGTGATTGGCAGCGGAGAAAAGGGAGACCCCTGCAGAAATCTCTATTCATAGACAAGGGCAGAGGAAGCAGGAGGGGGAGGGTAACTTGGAGATTTGCATGTAAGAGCAAGGCCGCGCTCATCAGCAGTTATTTGTGGCTGAGTAAATTGAACAAGATTTTAAGAGTTTTCTGGAAAGGTCTAAGGAAGTTCATGTTGTGGAAACTGTGTTGTGTTCTAATATCATTGCGACCTTGGATAAGTTACTCAACCTCTCTAACTCCTTTTCCTCATCCATAAAATGAAGACAATGACAGTACCAACCTCAGGGTTGTGGGTGGAGGGGTGAAAGGAGACAATCACTGTAAAGTCTTTATTCCACTTCTTGGCACTTACGAATGGTCAGGAAACAGACTAAGAAAGTATTTTTCCAAGATCCCATCTCATTAGAAGGAAGGCATGTTCTCTGCTCTTTCTAGTTCAGTGACCTTTCTAGGCTGACTTGCACCAGAGTGAATTTTTCAGTTGATCAGTGATCTGGTATTATTTTGGATTATTATTTAGTTCAAATCAGGAACCTATTTGATACCATCCCAGACAAATAGGTTTGTTTAATGTCAGTTAACAATAAAGTGCCCTCCCATAACTTGGGATACACCCCTCCCTCCAGATCTAGAACTTGATTAATCATAGTTTAAAGATTTATTTATTTATTTGTTTGTTTGTTTATTTATTTATTTATACACACAAGCACTGGGTACAGTCAGAAGCGCTGGAGGGTGAGAGAATTCACCAGAGCCAGAGCAGGACGGGCAGGAGAGGCCTGCCGGCCATGTGGGACCCTCGCGGGTGGCGCCACTGGGGAGACCCTATCATAGTTTAGATTTTAATTTTATTATTAAATTAAGTTCTTTATTTTAAATGTTGTTTGTTGTGTTACCCCAGTATTGTGATATTCCCACATTAGTTAATTGTAGTATTTATCACTTGAAAATTTTCTAATTTAGTACAGAGGTAGAGAATTTATTAGTAATGCACTTTTCATTGGATTAAAAGTATTTGGAAAAATCTACAGTGCATATTTTAAAAGAATAAAACATACATTGAAAGTAATTAGAGAAGAGGGCAAATATAAAACCTCATTTGAAAATACTCATTTGAAAATCTACTGTAGTGTTAATAACCACTTAAGGGCAATTAGCTTTGGACCCAGCATCAATTTGGAAAAATTTGCTTTTTAATCGTTATGTAATTTACACACAAGGAAATTCAATAGACAATCTCCTTTCAAAATTTTATTTTGCCTTACAAGACATTATGGGCCTCTTGATGTGATGAAATAGGGTACAGCTATACCTTTAAAGACTCTTTCCAGGGTCTCCCCTGGTGGTGCAGGCAGTTAAGCACTACACTGTGAAGCTGTCTGCAGCCTCTGCAGCGCTGGTTCCATCCCAGCCACCAGGGAGGGTCCCACATGGTGCAGCAGACCTCTCCTGTCTCACCCAGTGCTCCCTTCAGCAGTTTATTTCAGTCAGTCTGTCTCTGGTGAATCCTCTCACCCCCCCACACCTCTGTTCTATACCCCAGCTCTTATATGTATAAATAAATAAATCTTAAAAAAATGTAGTATGCAGACCGTGAATCCTCATTCTAAGGAACCAACTTTAGACATCTTTGAGACAAGGGATTTGAATGTGTACCAGGTATTAGATAATGTTAGGGAATGACCTGCATTATTAATTCTCTTAGGTGTAATAATGACATAGTGTTTAAAACAACCTGTTACCAAAAAATGTGTACAGTGTGTATATGGAGAAGCAAAAGAAAGCAAGGAAGTATATGACCATGAAGCAAACACTTAGTACCAGAGATCAGAGACTTAAAGATAAGGATTAAAGCATAAAAAAGATCAGAAAAATCCGAAAGCAGTCAAGGAAGGAGAAGTCACGCAACACCCTTCCTGCTTATTCTTCCAACATAACACAGCTGGACCTGCCTTTAGCACACCCTGATTAATTCCAATTTTATCACCTTTCCACTGAATCCAAACTGAACTTAGTGCATTCTGTGATGGGCTGTTTTTATGCAAATGTATCTTTGCATAACTGTGTAGTGACTAGAACTGAGAAATTGGGGCAGAAGTATCTAGTGACTGCAAGGATTTCCAAGGATCCAAGATTTGACTTAATACCTTGCACACATACAAAGAAGCCCATGCAGATAACTTCATGGTAGTACAAAGAGTAACTCTCCATAGTTCTTCGTTGTTGTCATATTTGGTCAGACCTTAAAGATTTATTTATTTATGCATACAAGAACTGGAGTACAGTCAGAGGTGCAGTGGTTGAGAGGATTCACCAGAGACAGAGTGGGGAGCAGAACAGGCAGATCAACTGAAATAGACTGCTGAGGGGAGCAGCAGATGAGTCAGGAGAGGTCTGCTGACCTCTGGGTCACCTACCCTGGCCCGCCTGGGATTGAAATCATGCTGCAGTGGCTGTGCACAGCTTTGTAGTGGTGTGCCTTAACCCCTTGCGCCACCAGGGAGGCCCCTTGGCCAGACCTTAAACCAATCTGAACATCCCTGGAATTCTCATGCACATTTCTAATCATAGTTATAACATTGAGGTGATAGATGCTAGATGATAATGGTGGCTAACTCTTACATGAGCAAGTTCTTCTGCCTTCTGTTAACCAACTTTCTCTGTGGTGACCAGTTCATTAAAAGAATTATTATTCCACTCTTCCATTTACTCTGTTATGAGTTGAGTATTAACCATAACCAAAAATAATACACTTATTTTTTGATGCTTTGAAAATGAAATTTTATATTTAAAAATGTGTTGCATCTTTTTATGAATCAGGATTACATTAAAATGAAATCTATCAGAGAGGCAAAATTGAGGGAATGATGGCTGAATGAATGAAATGATGTCTGGGATTATTTAAGAGGAATCTGGGAAATGCAGTCTTTTAACTGGGGAATATTGTTTCCAGAAGGAGAAAATGGATATTGAGGACAACTAGCCATTATTGTACAACCAGTGATATTTTAAACATATACATTACAAAAGTAAGGAAGTAAATTAGATGAATATTCATGCTCTTCATTCTATTTTACCAAATGCCACTAACACCAGATATGTAGTTCATAATTGGGAGAATTCTCCTCTTCTAGGAAAGGGTTTCTGTGGGGAAGTTGGACATCACTGGTTGGTTGGCTGTGTGTGTTAAAAACTCTTTTTGGAGGAGGTTGTGAGGAACTGGCAAAAGTGAGGATATGTGAGATCTGGAATGAAGTTTATTTATTTATTTATTTTAAAAAATTATTGATGCACACAAGATCTAGGGTACAGACCAGAGATGCAGGAGGGTGAGAGGAGTCACCAGAGACAGAGTGGGGAACAGAATAGGCAGACTGACTGAAATACACTGCTGAGGGGAGCAGCCAGCAAGACAAGAGAAGTCTGCTTTGCCATGTGACTTTCTCTCTGGCTGGCCGGGGATTGAACTTGTGGGGATTGAACTTGTGCTGCAGAGGCTGTGGATTGCTTTATAGTGTGGTGCTTAATCCCTTGTACCACCAGGGAGGCTCTGGAGTGAGGTTTATATTTCAGTCCCAACTCCTTTGTGATGTGATCTTAGGTACAAACTATACCTCAACTTCTCTGTAAAATGAGGAAAGTAATATACTTATTTATATGACTTTGTTTTAAGACTAATGGAATCTATGTGAAAGTTTGCTATACATTATCTTCATTTAATATTATGTTAAACAATATTTCAGAAATAACTCTTGATGATTATTTGGTATTTTTAGGGAGATATATATATATATATATATATATATATATGTCAGGTCTGTATGGGATACTCAGGTACTATACAGGATACAGAGAAACATGAAGGGATTCAAGGATCTTGCAAATCCAGAAACTAAGTAAGTGGAGTCATGTGCAAATTACCCAGTGATGCAAGACAAATCAAATGGATTTGTAGGTGGTTTTAAAATGTTTATATGTGCTGTGGTATGAATTATTTACATTTAGAAATGATGCTGAGAGCTAAATTTGTTGTAATATTATAAAAATAAATGATAAAATGTGAGGAAGGCTTTCATCATTTTGCTTTTTTCACTAGCTCAAATTGTAAACACAGATGAACTAGTGTTTACATATTTGGTCATTTTATATTACAGAGTTTCCTGTAATGTGAGGATTTAATGAAGCTTTTGACATATGATGTTGATGTATACTCAAAACCATTAAGAAATTTCCATTTTGATACAAAGAATTTTGGAAAATTTGATTATATGTCAGTTAAGCAGCTAGTGTTTTCATTTTGCCACTAGCTCTGGTGAGCTCTGTAATGTTTTCTTTTAATCAAGCTCCAGTAGGAGACTTAATTGTGATGGTATGAAGATGAATCTGGGCTAAGAACATTTCATGCAACTCAGTCTTAAATAAACTTGTTTCTATTGGCCAATATTTATTATTATCTAATAATTCTTGGTAGATTAAGTCTTCATATATTTACCTTAGACAAAATCTGATAGAAGACTAATCATTATGGGATCCTAAATGATTTTTCCTCTCCTTATTCAGAAACACAAATGTGCTTTTTTTTTTAAATTTTTATGGTTGAATATTTTAAAACTTTCTTGTGATATAATTTTTTTTCCATTTATAGGAGTTATTTTATACAGAAATCTTTGTGAGACCATTGTGCAAACAAGGTGATGATTGTACAGAGAGTGGTATTGAATTCCCGACCTGGTATGTACTTGTAATGAGTAAACACCTGTGGTCTTTGATAACTATTAATGCAAGTAAAAAAATAAAAACTAATAGGATGTCAGTGTGGTAAATTAAAGTAGGAAGATATTAACACTAATAGAGATACTAGAAAAAACTCTAATACTCAATTTTTCAAGTAATAACTTAGTAAGGTCATTTGTTGAAGAAAGAATATATAATCATAAAAAAAGAATAAATAATCATTACATTGTTTAAAAGGTTATGCTATCAATGTGTGTGACTTCGGTTTTTCTTTATAGTATGTATCATTGGTTCTTAAAATCTGCTTTCTGTTTATGTGAAAAGCACTGACCTATGTGTGTGCTGACCTCTTACCTGAATCATAGCAACTCAAATGTGGAAGTAACTTGAGAGGTTTGGGTCCCCTGATGCCTTGGATTTTGCTGCCTATCTAACTTGTGACCTGGGAAGTCTCTTAACTTTTCTGACCTCAATTTTTGTAAAGTGATTATATATATCTGAAGATTAAGATCTTTATATTGTATTCACACTTTAGAAGTTTGATGATTCAATAAATAGGAAACTTGCTGTGTTAAGAATATACTAAGAATATACTTTTAGTGATGGCATTCTATTTACAAATTTTTCTTTTCATACTTCTCCTTTGCGACTTCTAATCTTGAATACTTTCTTTTGTGTTAAAATTACATTCATTGGAGTTTCTGTTTTCTTATTTAAGTAAGGAAGGTAACTTTACCTGACTATTTACTTTGGCTGATGTGGTGTTTCTGCTAAATTGTAAATTTTATTTTTAAAAAGCTAGCAGTGATTTTTCACTTTTTGAAATCCTCTGATAATTTTAAAGCAGTGAGATGAACTTAACTATAATCATTTTTAAAATTTATTTAGTTTTTTAAAAAGATTTACTTTTATTTATTTATACATACAAGAACTGGGGTGTAGGCCAGATGTGGGGGTGGGGAGGGTGAGAGGATTCACCAGTGGGGAGACAGTGGGGAGCAGAACAGGCAAATTCACTGAAATATGCTGTTGAGGGGAGCAGTGGGCGAGGCAGAGTTCTGCTGTACCATGTGGGTCAGCTCCCTGGCTGGGGATCAAATTCATGCTTTAGTGGCTGGCATAGCTTGATAGCACTGAGACTTTAACCCCTGTGCCACCAGGGAGGCCCTTAACTGTAATGATTTTAAAAAAGAAAAATTTAAAGATGACAGCAATATCCCAAAGAACTTATTGGAGAAAATCAAGAGCAATTGAAACTATTTAAGAAAATCCTTGTTCTGAGTAATTTCTACAGTTACATAGAAATTTACAAAACAATATAGATTTATTCATTCCTGTATTAAAAGAGAGTGTCTGGATCCTTGAGTGAATTTTTTTAAAAATAATGAATACTTGTATAGAAAAGTGACTTTTTGATTTTATATTTTCATCTAACATTTCAGGAAAAAATGGTAATCCAGTGGCAGAAAATTTTCGAATGGAAGAAGTAAATTTACCAGATAATATCTGTGAAGGACAGGTAAAAGCCAGAACTCTTTATCTTTCTGTGGATCCTTATATGGTAAGAATCAGGATTTGTGGCTTGTAAAAAATAATTTTATTTTCATATATTTCATGTTGTTCATGAATTTTATTGTGCCATTCTCATGATTAATAGGTATTTGAGTGCTTATATCTTGATATTTGTGAATTTTAAGTTGCCTTTGTTTTTAGTCACTAGTGTTATTAAAGAATATTGTAGAAGGAATGTTTTCATAATAGTGCAATGTCTAGACCATTTCCCCAGTAGTTAGTAAAGCTTGAAGGCCATGAACAAGGATGGAAATTCTGTTACTTGATCCAGTTCATATGATAGATTCTGGGCCTCCCCTGGTCGCACAGCGGTTGAGCACCGGGTTGCGAAGCTGCCCGCAGCCTCTGGGGCGCCAGTTCGATCCCGGCCGCCGTGCAAGGGTCCCACATGGTGCGCAGACCTCTCCTGCCTCCCATTGCTCCCCTCAGCAGTGTGCTTTGTCAGTCTGCCTGTTCTGTTCCCCACTCTGGCTCTGGTGAATTCTCTCACCCTCCTGCGCTTCTGACTGTACCCAATGCTTGAATGAATGAATGAATGAATGAATGAATAAATAAGAAAAAATGTTTTTAAAAAAAAACTTCTATAATGTTTTCAGCATCACCACTTTGATTTCTTTTTTTTTTTTTAATGTTTTTTTTTCATTTTTTTTTTTTTTTTTTATAGAGGCATGTTTATTTATTTGTTTGTTTGTTTGTTCTGTTCATACATGCACTGGGTACAGTCAGAAGCGCGGGAGGGTGAGAGAACTCACCAGAGCCAGAGCGGGGAGCAGAGCAGGCAGAAGGACCGAAGTACACTGCTGAGGGGAGCAGCGGGCGGCAGGAGAGGTCTGCGCGCCATGTGGGACCCTCCTCTGGTGGCCGGGGAGCAGCCGGGGATCGAACCGGCGCCGCAGAGGCTGCGGGCAGCTTTGCAACCCAGCGCTCAACCGCTGCGCCACCGGGGAGGCCCCACCACTTTAATTTCTAGGATGTTTTCGTTATCCTAGCAGAAACCCTGTGCTCACTAAACAGTACATCCCCATTACTCTCTTTTTTTTTTTTTAAAGATTTTTTTTTATGCATACAAGAACTGGGGTATAGGCTAGAGGTGTGGGGGGTGAGAGGATTCACCAGAGACAGAGTGGGGAACAGAACAGGCAGACTGACTGAAATACACTGCTGAGGGGAGCAGCAGGTGAGTCAGGAGAGGTCTGCTGCTTCATGTGAGTTGCTCCCTGGCAGGGGATAGAACTTTTGCTGCAGTGGCTGACAGCTTCACAGGTTGTGTCCTAACCCCTTGCGCCACCAGGTAGGACCATCCCCATTACTCTTAACCTCAGAAGAGGGATTGAATTTTGTCAGATGCTTTTTCTGAATCTCAATAGGATACATATTGGGGAACAGAATAAGCAGATCCATGGAAATACACTGCTGAATGGAGCAGCGGGGGCAACAAGAGAGGTCCGCTGCGCCATGTGGATTGCTCCCTGGCCAGCCAGGAATCGAATTCATGCTGCAGTGGCTGACAACAGCTCGACAGTGCTGTCTTTAGCCCCTGCGCCACCAGGGAGGCCCTAAATTTGTTTTTAATTGTACTTTTTTACTTGTTATAGAGAAGTTACCTTTTTTTCAGGATGAAAAATAAATGAAAGGAAGAGAGAAACTAAGGTAAATTTTTCTTGAATAATATTAACTACTTAATATATGTCTTTCTTTTGGTCACTGGGTAAATTTAAGCTGGTTCAGTATTTTTAGACAGAAATCTCTTATGCAATTTTTTTTTTTTTTTAAGCGTTGTAGAATGAATGAAGACACTGGCTCTGATTATCTAACACCTTGGCAGCTGTCTCAAGTGACTGATGGTGGAGGTATTGGGATTATAGAAGAAAGCAAACATAAAAATTTTACTAAAGGCGATTTTGTGACTAATTTCTGTTGGCCCTGGCAAACCAAGGTTATTCTGGATGGAAATATTCTTGAAAAGGTGGTGTATAATATTCCTCACCCTCCCCTCATTTGATTCTTACTTTGTGCATTTGTTATCAAGGATAAAAATAAAGGCATACATTTCCTTTTATATAGCTGCCAAAGTACAGAACGTCCTTACTTCTTTTCTACTGTTGGCTGTCAACTACCAGAGAATGATGTTGTTTTCCATATTCAATTTATTTCTCAAATTTTACATGTATAAGATAAAACCTGAGATATAAACATAAAAAAAAAATGCTTAGGGGCCAGATGGCCCCTATAGAGGTGTGCTTTAGAGTTTCCTGAGAAATTACACTTGACTTAAATTCACTTGGTTTGTACTTGATGTTCTATCTCATGTCAGAAATCCTTAGTTTCTACTCTTAGGTTGAACTATGTGAAATTACCAATATTTATCTTTTTTGACTTATAAAATAGGCAGCTTCCTATAATTCAACCTAACATGTCATCAGGAAGTTACATAAAGAGCTGCCTCTACTTTGTCAAAAAATAAGAATTTCTAGTACCATCTTTGTTTTGTACCATTGACATGTTTTATTGGTATATCATACTTATTACAGTTACTATTTCTTAGATAATGAAGGTAGTATACATTTTTACTAACTGGTTAAAATTAATTACCCAGATGTTATCTCCAGATTCCATATATCATTTTTTTTTTCATAATTTCATGATGGTTTTCCCCAAATTATCTCCTTTCAGTATTGCCATTAATGTAGCTGGCATGCTTTCAGATCCTTCAGTGATGTATTCATGATACTGGATTTTGCCCTATGAGACTGATAAGCAAGTCTTTCAGAGCCTTCTGTCTGACCTTTCCTTGCCAGTGGGTGACAATAAACTCTTCCATGTGTAGTTGCTAATAGATAATAATCTCCTGGTGTGGGCCTGGGAGAAGTGGCTGAGTACCACTCTATATAGAGATGGCCCACATCTAGCAATTCTTCCACATTTCTTCATCTGGGGGATAAAGGTGTTTGAAAACTCTGTATCTACATTATCAAAATAACCATCATAACTATCCGGAGAGGCTTTTTTAAAAGTTTCACCCAAAGACCCTACTGTCTTATAGTTAAGACTGGCAACCTTTTCTTGAGACACAGTTGCTCCAACAACTTTGTAACCCTTGATCTTAGCTATCTGCCGCACAGCAGAGCCCACTGCTTCTGCTGTTGCATTAACCATCACTGTTTTTCCACTCTTTACACCACAGATGTCATATAGGCCCAAGTAGGCTATTAGTCCTGTCATGGCAACTTTTCCCAGAGCCTAAGACAATGGTGAATTGTCTGGCCACTATGGAGGCAGCTTTTCCAATTCTATCCCATCTTTACCCAGCCTGAAGAAGATACTGCAGTAGTTTCTGTTGGCAAGGCTGAGTTTTTACTTAACGAAACTCTGGCCACTTGTTGCCTCATCATCTTACCACCCTCCTTCAGTATTTTGGCTGCCACTCTCATTTAAGGATCCACAGTGAGGAGCAAAGCTTCCGGTAGGGCCCCTTCAATTTTTAAGGGTGGGAGTTCAATAGTCTTCAAGTTACTGTTAGTTTGGTTGCCTTCAAAGTGCTTCCTACAGGGTCCAGCTCTTGGCATAAAGTGTCTTAGAACTCAGGAGTCGACAAGTTCCGTGACCTAGGGTTGTTCCCAGGTACCATTTTTAAAAGGTATGTGTTTTATTTTAGGTAGACCCAAAGCTTGTGGATGGACATCTTTCATACTTTCTTGGAGCTATAGGTATGCCTGGCTTGACTTCCTTGCTTGGAATACAGGAAAAAGGCCATATAACTGCTGGATCTAATCAGACAATGGTTATTAGTGGGGCTGCTGGTGCTTGTGGATCCTTGGCTGGGCAGGTAACCTTTCTTTTTTTCTTTTCTTTCTTTTTATTTTTTTTTAAGTAGAGAAGAGCTGAGGTATAGGCCAGAGGAGCAGGGAAGGTGACAGACTTCACCAGAGACAGAGTGGGGAAGCAGAACAAGCAGATTGACTGAAATACACTGCTAAGGGGAGCAGTGGGTGAGACAGGAGAGGTCTGCTGTGCCATATGCAGGTTATCTCCCCAGCTGGGTATTGAACTCAGGTCTAGAGGTGATAGCGCTGAGACTTAACCTGTAGGCTACCAGGGATGCCCCTAGGCAGGTAACCTTTCTGAGAATTATTTGATTTTCTAAAAAATGTAATTGTAATTTAAGCTCTGGATACATGCATATAATTTAAAATATATAATTGAACAAATTAATGATCTTTTTCATATTTGTGATAAAAAAAGGTGTTACTACATAGGCTCTTTTCATACCAATATGGAAAATGTTATTGATTTTTATATCTTGTTTTCTGCTACCCCAAAATAGAAGTGGTAATTGCTTGAACATAGTTCAAATCACTATAAGGAAGAAAATCATAGAGAAAAAGAGAAAGAAAAAAAAAAGAAATCATAGAGTACCTGCCTGGAACTTGAATTAAAAAAATAAATGAACTCATTCATGTATTAAAACAAATCTTCAAATAAGAAAGCACTTATTGGGTCCCAGAAATATAAATACATTTATGAATAATAGTCATTATAGTAGGAAACCACTGAAACAAAACATTTTATCTTAATAGTAACTTTAGTTCCTCACAGACCTGAAAAATACTGAATTGCAAGGTAGTGATGTTTTGGATCTGACTATTCCTTCTATGTAACAGCTTTAAATTGAGAGGTTTTAACATTTACATTTAGTCAAGATTTATTCAATCCTAATTTTTTCCCCTCAAGCTTAAGAATATTTTATTTGTTCTTTGTTCTTTTGGTTCAGATTATTTTTAACTAGAAGTCCTGTAATCTAAGCTAAATCATGATGAATAATCTTACATATTTGTAGTATCTCATATACTTTCACATTTTTACATTTAAATATGACAATACAAAGTGGTAAATTAATCTCAAAAATTTCCCCCTTAGATTGGCCATTTGCTGGGCTGTTCCAGAGTGGTGGGAATTTGTGGAACACATGAAAAGTGCCTCTTTTTGACGTCAGAACTGGGCTTTGATGGTGCAGTTAATTATAAAAGAGGAAATGTGGCAGAACAACTTCGTGAATTATGCCCAGCTGGAGTGGATGTTTACTTTGACAATGTTGGTGGTGACATCAGTGATAAAGTGATAAGTCAGGTTGTTTTAAATTTTGAATACTACATTTTATTTGAAGTATCTTTTTACCTGATTCTGTGTGAGAGAAAAAAATGATAAAATTGTACTTTGTGAAACATGATGCTCAGTGTATTACGTGTAGAAGAGCTTGCTGATACCTACTTTCACTTGCTTACAGATTTGCAGAGTGTAAGCTTCAATGCTTTACTAGCAATATTAGATTTTTTTCACCTGAAATCTATTTTTGTGAAAAATTACAGTTGTATTGTTCAAATGGTGAAGTTCTGACCCTAACTCACCCTGATCTGACTTTGGGTAAGGAATGGATTTCTATAAATTGCAGGCATTTTTATTGACAGTGTTAAAAATATCAACATAGCTATTAACAGTACATTGTCCTTCACTGTATATAAAATTAATTGCAATTTTTAAAAGATTTTATTTATTTTTGCGTAAAAGAACTGGGGTGTAGGTAGTGAGAGGATTTACCAGAGACAGAGTTGGGAGCAGAACAGGCAGATCTAATGAAATACACTGCTGAGGGGAGCAGAGGGCGAGACAGGAGAGGTCTGCTGCGCCATGTGCTCCCTGGCCCCGGGATCGAACTCAGGCTGTAGGGGTGATAGCCATGTGCTCCCTGGCCCAGGATCAAACTCAGGCTGTAGGGGTGATAGCCATGTGCTCCCTGGCCCAGGATTGAACTCAGGCTGTAGGGGTGATAGCACTGAGACTTAACCACCAGACCACCAGAAAGGCCCAAAATTAACTGCAGTTGAGATTTATTTATTTAAATCCAAAGAAAGACTAACTACTACTACTAAAAGTAGTAACAATGATCACCAAGCTCTCATTTACTTTTTTATGGTGTCACCTTGTTTTCTAGCCAGTTAAAACTTAAAATACATTTGGGTAAATCTACAAAACAAATTCAATTAATTGGCATAAAGGATTAAATGTAGTAGACAAGGACAATTTAATCGAGGCAGCCATAAAATCAGTAAACATAGGAAAAAGGCATATATCTTAGGATATAATAATCAGTTTTCTCTGAACAGATGAATCAAAACAGCCACATCATCCTATGTGGTCAAATTTCTCAGTACAACAAAGATGTGCCTTATCCTCCTCCACTACCCCCTGCTGTGGAGGCAATCCTGAAGGAAAGAAACATCACAAGGTGTGTTCTACCCTTTACTTGTATTACCAGATTCTGTTGTTCTTCATACATTATTTTTCCTTATGAAACTTGAAAACTTATTTTTAAGCCAGTTCAGTCTATAGATTTTAGTAAACTAATTCCTCAGCAGAAAACTTTTTTCAAAAATACATTTGCTTTTTCAGTCTTTTGGTAGTAATAGAAACTCAACTTACATTGACAAGTGTAAAGAAAATGTATTGGCTAATGTATCCGAGAAGTCCAAGATTAGTACTAACTTATATTTGACTGGATAAAAGTGTTTGTCCAGTGGCATCATAGCTCAGTTTTTCTCCCCCTCCGGGCTCTGCTTTCTTCTGGGTTGGCTTTATCACTTTGAGGGCTTTCCTTGTGCAGCAGTGAGAGGATGACTGATACCTCTGTCTTATATTTTATCAATACAAGTAGAGGAGAACCGCTTTCTCCTTGTTGTTTTATCAAGTCCTAAAGCTGATACTTAATGGCTCTGAGTGGCTTGACTTGGGTCACAGGAGGGTGGGAAAAGGATGCCACCCACAGTATAAAATCACACACATGTTAAGCAAAAGTCCACTATACTTAATACCTATACCTGCACCTATATATTAAATTTATATCTTACCAGACTTTTCATGTCTGAGTCCTAGTATTGAAGGATTAGCAGATATTAGAATTCTGGAATGATTTGATTTTAGATTCTTCTATTCTCTCCCTAATCTTTGATCATTATCTTTTTCTTCCCCATTACAGAGAAAGATTTCTGGTTTTAAATTATAAGGACAAATTTGAACCTGGTATTCTACAGTTGAGTCAATGGTTTAAAGATGGAAAGCTAAAGGTATAACTTACTTCGATTCTTTATCAATATCATTCTTCCTTCTACATGATATGCTTTTTTACTATTTGGATTTATTATAGGAAACATATTATTCTCATAATAAAAATTCCTACAAAAAAGTATACTGGTTATTATAAATTAACTATTTCTTGGTAAATATAACATCTTGATTGAGAAACCAATTATTTGCTTATCTAAAATGTTGTTAAGCTTTACTTTTCTTAGATTATATTACAAGATCAATGGCTTTTTGAAATTGTAATATTCATTAATTTAGAAAATATTTATGGAATGCCAACTATGTACTAGAAGTACATTCTCAAAAATCATATAAACACTTCCTAATATCCCGACCATTGTACTTCTTTCTACCCTACATGGATATTCTAATATTATCTTTTGGTTGTTGGTTGAAATTCAGGAGTTATTAATTGGGGTTCAGAGACCTTGACTTAAGATGGTCTTATAACCTGCAAATGATAGGCAAAGTGGTATATGCATGTGTTTTGGTACTCAATTTTTGGAAAAGGGTATATAATTTGTGGTGTTGATAGGATTTCATTTAAAAAACCATTACCAAAAAATCTGGGCTATGTATATGAAAAGTATCTGGCTTTAGAAAGTGCTAACTAGCATTGTCTTTTGCAAAAGTGGAAATTATTAAATAGAAACATTGGTCTAAAGAATATTAAATATAGTTATTTTGATTTACAGATCAAAGAGACTGTGATAAATGGATTGGAAAACATGGGTGGTAAGATGAATGTAGATTTATTTATTATGTACATGTACTCAGCACAAATACTTCTCTTATCCTTCTACTTCTCTTGATGTTTTAGTATTAAAATCATTGAGAAATTATTCAAATTAATTGTATGTGTCTGACCTACTGATAAACATGTCTGACAGTGACATTTATGTTTTCAGATAACCTAATTTTTTTTTCCTTTCCAGCTGCATTCCAGTCAATGATGACAGGAGGTAACACTGGAAAGCAAATAGTTTGCATTTCAGAAGACACCTCTTTGTGATCTCCATAAAGGTCTTGATTAAGGAATAGATTTCTATTTTGCACAAAGATTTTCAAGATACATTTAAAAACCTTAAAGATAACCTGTGATTTAAGTGTGTTCATAGGTGATATTTCTTAGCTGTATAACAATTCTCTCCTATATATTCAACATGTGTACTTTATATCCAACATTTTATATATAATAATAGATTTAAGTCAGAATGTTTTCCTTTCTTTTGCTAAAACTAATATTACTTATATTTTTATTAGATCTTCACCCTGGAGATTTGGTACATCTATTAATGGATCATACAAAATTTATTAAAACTAAAATCTTTTATTGAAAATAGAAAGGCACTGAGTAAATATTTGTTGGACTGGAAAGGCTTTAGATAATTCCTGAACTGAAACTTAGTAAAAGGATAGAATTGAGTTGGTCTTTTCATACTGTAAATGTAAGAGAGACTTAATTGCCGGTTATAAGTGTAGGGGACCATAGCTTCCAGAACAGTTCGTGGGGATAGAGCAGAGACTTTGTTGTTGGGAGTAGCATGAGAAGACAAATTTAACTGAGGTTGGGTAGGTTGATGGAGAGAATAGATTTACTACAGACGATTGATTTGATTTTGCCAGACAGCTTGCTGTAGCGCCTAAAAACTCATATTGATAAAAGCATATGTTTATTTTAGATTAGCAGGCGTACTGTCAAATAGTTGTAAAGATTTCAAGTGGTAAATACTTGGAGTTTTAGGTGATTGAAAAGATGGAGACAGCAAAGACAGCGTCAAAAAAAGACAGACTGGGCAAATTAACAAATGGTTGTAAACATGAATATTCGAGATCGAGTAATGTACCTCTAAATAAGAGTTTGTTTAATTCATTGTAATTAACACTTTAAAACAATAAAAAATGACATTTTTCTGAGTGTTGTGCTGGTTTATGGGTACTTGTTTACATACTGCATTATACTTTTGTCTGCAACATTTGTAAAAAGTAGATCCAAATTATTGTTAGTAATCATTCACTCCAGGTGACTTCATGGGGCTCTCTTCTTGTTATGTACCATTTGTTTTTCTGGACCATTTCCTCTCCAGAAGACTTCATCACTCAGCTTTATGTTAATACTGTCCAAGTCTTTTCTTTATTTCTGACCTCCTTTACCTCCAAGAAAATATCTCCTGGAACCCTGCTAAGGAATTACCTTCCCCAGTTTCTTGTTTGTTTTGTAAATCACTGTCGTTTATTTGTGTACCCAAACTACACCTCCCTCACCCATTTATATGCAGTCCTTAAGGTTTTTCTTTAACCTGGAAAAAGCCTCTCTTAAAGAACTCCTTTAATTCTCACAGCACTCTCTTAGTTGAGTCATCTTTCTGCACTCAGCTATTCAAAAATTACTTATTTCAAAATCAAACTACTAAAGCTCTAACAAGTGGTGCCATCCAGCCTGAAATTCAGTTGTCGTGGTTACAAGTCAGGACGTCCGAGAGCTCTTTACATCCTATAATGGGGAACCCAGACTCCCGGGAATTCATATTCCAAAAAAAGTTGTGCCCACGAGTCTTAATTCTTACCACGTTTCACATGCAACTAGATCCTGCAATTTCACTTCTCAGGCAATGAAGCTCCGAGTTTCTCTTCACTGAAAACTTTGATAAATGTTTAAGTAGTGATCTGTTCTCTCTCGATTGCTTCCTTTGTAATTCGTACAGATCTCAAACGACAGGAAAAACGACCCCAGCACGGCTGCAGAGTAGTGACGTCATAGCTCGAATTCACTGACCCTGTTTTCTGACTCCGCGGACCTCGGAGCCGCGAAGGCCGAGAGAAAATGAATGTTAGGCAGGTGACCCCGGCTCCCTCCCGCCCCGGGCGAGCCCTGCGCTGCGGGCCCCAGGAGGCCGGCGACCTTCCCGGCCGGACCCGGGCACAGCGGCAGCCGCCCAGCCCACAGCGGGGCGAGTGGGTGCGCGCGTGGGGGGTGGGGGTGCGGTGGGGGTGGGGTCCAAACTTCCTGTCCCGCGCTCGCGCTGCTTCCGGCGGGAGCCGGAAGACGCCGTGTGTGGACGGAATTCGGGACCGACTGCTGGACGCCGGGCTACGCGGGACGGGCAGGTGAGCGCCGGGTGGGCCAGGCCACAGCGGCAGGGGTAGGTGGCCCCTGAAAGGGAGGGGGCCAGTACTGCCTCCTCGGGGGCTCGGGCCGAGTTTGCCCGGGAGAGGACTAGGAAACCGCCCCCCTTACCCCCCCCCTCGGATCCGGCGGGCCCTGGAGCGCCCGGTCCGAGGTCCCACGGCTTAGGCCCCTTCCCCTCGTTGCATCCTGGGGCCGATGTGACAGCTTCTCTCCTTGGTTTGCTTCACAGCAATAAGACCGTTTTGAGAAAGCCCGAGTCCTCGAGTCCCCTGGGCGGGGACCTCCCGGATTGCACCCGGGCCTGCCGGCGGACCTTGAGGCCTTGGGGTCTTACACTACGGCCGTTGTTATGGGGGAAATTGGAGGCCAGGGGAACTCTGCCACGGAGATCTCAAAGCTGTTCTCTGCTGTCATACATACACTCACTTTCTGGGTCTAGAAGAAGGAAGGCTGCCGACTCTGAGAGACTGGGCGCCGGTTCTCCTTCGCCTGTCATTTCAGGGCAGGGGTGTGGGCTGAGTGCCGCCTGTATGCATTTTGCAAGTTGACTTTTTCCTCCGAAGTTTCTTCAGAGAAAAGAATCCAATTAGTTTATTAAAGTTTTTTCCACTTCTGAGGCTGTGCAAGGCATTTATGTACCGTTTGAAAATTAAATATTATAGGCACTTAAATTTTCATACTCTCATAAATTCACACAAAAGTCAACGCAGCATATTTGCAAAGAGAATAAACATTTTGAAATTAAGTCCAGGGTCATTTTGTTGTTTAGGGAGTGAGAAATTCTTGTGTTATATTACTGTGGGACAGAGTAAAGTTAACCAAAATTGCAGTTAGAAAATCTGGGTTCTAGTTTAAAGTTGCATCTAATTTGATGTCTAATTTTTAGTAAATAACTTAATCTCTAGCTTTTGTCTCCTTCCCCAAAAAAGAAGGGGTTTATCTATTCAGCAGCTATTTCCAGGATGCTTAGTTTGTGCAAGGCAATGTGCAATGTGAATGAAAGATGATGAACTCATGAACCTTAATCAGTGAGAAAATAGGCATAAGACAATGTTACCCAAAGCAGGATGAAATTATTGCTGAGGAGAGGTTGAGCTGTGTTGTGAGAACACCAAGAGAAGGACAGATTTGTTCTGACTAGAGGCATAGTATTAGCGAGTTTTCAAGAAGGAAATGGCTTGACTTAGATATTAAAGACTGGAAAGAAGTTCACAAGATAACTTGTGATTGGGGGGGATTTATTTCATCTTGAAGAACTATGCCAAGCAAACACCTGGAGCACTGAAATAGGTTGGTTGTGTTCCTTTAAAAGCCAGTCCAGTGTGGATTGGAGTAAAGATTTCATTGAGGAATGTAGTGGATTCTGCAAATGGAAGGGAATTTGAGGACATAGTGTAGAATATTTGAAATGCCATCCTTAGGGATTTGGCTTGTTCTGAGGCACTGAACTTTGACTAAGGGGAGTGACATAAGCATTTCTGTTTTGGAAAGATAACTGGAGTGGCAGTAGATTGGATAGGGGAATTTTAAGGTCAAGATGACTACTTGGAAGCCTAATTTTATTATGTACTTGCAATATATTGAGAAACCTAAGCATTACAGTAGGGATAAATCTGGGGGAATTAGAACCTGTGGGATTATTAAATGTGGAGGATGAGATTATTAAAGATCTAGAATTTGCAACTGAGTGGGAGGAAGACTGGGCAATAATTGAATATACAGGAAGAAGAACAGGTTTGATGGGGGAGATGATACTCTGGATTTTGGACATTGTTAGGTTTGAGGTGGTATTGCATATTCATGTGGAGAGACACAGCAATCAGAAATGAAAGCTTGGCTTTTAGAAGAAAGGTCAGGAATAGTGCCCAAAATTTGCATATCATTTGCAGTGTCATTTATTCATTATACCAGTGTCTATGAGGTACTTAAAAGGAAACTTGTTTGGAAACCCTTTAAGCTCATAGTAAATACAACCTTAGAGTTTCACAGTATCAGAAATGACTCTTGAAGACCTAAATTCCTTACGAATTATTTACAGTTGTCAGGCATGGTTCCTGCCTTGTTTATGGAACTTACAGTTTAGAGGGTAGCCAGACACCCCACCTTACCCCCTCCCCCCCCAAAAAAAAAAAAAAAACACTATATGAAAACTTTGATACGGTCATCAGGGAAAGAAAGCCTTTCTGGTTTGATAGTTAAATTGAACCCTGGCCAATGGAAGAGGCAGGTGAAAACATTCCTAGCTAGAGGAAATGATATATGCAAATCCCTAACATTGGCAAGAAGTTAATGTGTTCAAGGAACTAAGGGAGGTTCATCTGGCTGTAACTTGGTAAGTAAGGAAGAATGACTTAACTGGTTGGAGAGGCAGAAATGGATCATAAACGTTCTTACAGGCCAGGATAAGGAGTTTGGATTTTGTCTAGATAATATTCACTGTAGTGAAGAGAATAGAATGGAGGGAGGCAGAAAGACCAGCCAGGGGGCAGTAACTTTATTCTAGGGCAAGAATTGTCGGTGACCTGGAGAATGTTGGTGGCCTAAGAGAGAAGTAGGCAGATTTGCTCGTGCTCTTGGTGATAGAATCAATAGAACTTGCAGCTGGATTAAATATTGAAAACAAAGGAAAGAAAGTAATAAAAATGACTCCTAAATCTGGTGAATGATGCCCCTGTCTTGAATGGAAGGTTGTGATGAGGGGGGAATGATGGGAAACAGGCTTGGAGAGAATTTATTTTCAGCCTGTTAAATATGAGATACCAAGTTAAAATATTAAGTAGCGATGTCAAGTAAGCAATTGCATATACAAGTCTGCAGCTCAGGCGGGGATAACTGGGCTACAGATTAAAAAAAAAAAAGGAAACCATATCATTTAAAGCTGTGAGTTCACATTGGATGGGCCTGCATATCATTCTGAGAACATTAGTGTTTAGAAACTGAGTGGAGGAGGCAGTGTAGAAGTTGATAAAGCAGACTGGAAGAATGGCCAATGAAATAGGAGTAAAATAAAGGATTTGTATTTTGGAAAGGAGGAGAATAAAGTGTTTGCTGAAGGGGCACTGCTTCTGAGAGAGAATACCAGTTATGACTGTTTGGTAGCTGGTGACCAATTTACCTGAGAAGAAGAATTTATAACAGGACTGTGAACAGCTCACAGGATCAAAGGAAATGCTGAAGTACTGGCTTGATAAAAGACGAATCAAAGCATCCCTGGTGGTGAAGGGGGATGGCTGGTAACTGCATTACTGGAATGAATGGGCTGTTGTGCTAGTTAGTTTTCAGCCCTTGGTTACTTCTTTTATTTTTTTAAAATTTATTTATTTTATGCGTACAAGAGCTGGGGTACAGGCCAGAGGTGTGGGGGGTGAGAGAATTCACCAGAGACAAAGTGGGGAACAGAACAGGCAGATCTACTGAAATACACTAATGAGGGGAGCATGGGTGAGACAAGAGAGGTCTGTTGCACCATGTGAGTTGCTCCCTGGGATCGAACTCATGCTACAGAGACTGCGGTGCTTAATAGTGCCGTGCTTAATCCCTTGCCCCACCAGGGATGCCCCGCCTTGGTTAATTCTTAAGGATTCTTGTTCTGAGGAAAAGTGACTGATTAGTTCAATATGGGTGAAGTGATCAACATTAAAAGAACACCTAATCTGCATTCCCAGGAAGACAGTATCCAGTGGTGTCCAGTAGAGGAAGAATAGCTCCCCAAACAAAATACGGATCCTGCCTCCCAAGCAGAAGAAAAAAATGTGGTACTATCAGAAATAATAGTTGTCCACCGCAAAGGTCAGGTGAGACAAGGAC